CAGCCCCTGATGGTCTGGGCTGAAATGCAGCTCACTGGATAATTAACTCCATCTTTCCAGTCCACCCTAACTGTTTATTTAGTGTCACCCTGCATTACCATCACTAGCACTTTCCTCTGAACAGGAGGAGCTGCAGGCTTTCACCTCCCAAAAGGAAATTCTTGTAGCTTAGACAGACGCGGTACTCAGGATGTACGTTAGTTGAGAGAGGAGAGGGAGGGGAGAGTTGATTGAATAGCCAATGGAAGATGAGCGCTTTGCAGACTTGCTCCAGTGCCACAGTTAAGGAGAAAGGGGACGGTGCGTCTTACAGTCCAGCCCTAAGGACCGATTTTGACACCTCACTCTCCAGGAAGGCGATTGCCACCTAAGGCTGAATGGGATCTTCTGGTGTCCCTGGGCCGAGCCTCCTCGGAGTGCAGCTGAAGTGACGGAAAGACCTAAGAAAAAAAGGGTGGTGGTGGGGAGGGAGTAAGGAAGGGGCTAAAAGAAGGGACGGGGAGGAGACCGGAAGGAGAAAGCAAGAGTAGAGAGTGAACGAGTGAGTGACAACTCAGGTGCAGACAAAATAAGCCACTTTTCTTTGAGTAGTACAGAGAATGAGACCGAGGCACCCTGGGAGGCAGATCCTAGAACCTCGCAAACTGCGGCGGCCAAGCACTTCTTCCCGACCCCCTCTTGGAGTTTTCTGGACGAGGAGGGGAGGGAACTGGGATAGGAAACTCAGGTTGGCGGAGAGCGGAGTTAGGGTGTAGGTCTTTGGGGTCGTCGTATTCTGTCTGTCCCTATGTGTGTCCTCGGGATAGTGTGGAGATGAGGGTGGCATTTTCTGCTGGGAGGACCAGGGCTTCAGGCGTTAGACGCCAGCTGCTTCTGTTTGTCCAGGTGTGGGAGGGGGTGGCGGTCGGCCGGCGTCCTGGGCACCGCGGAAGCAGGAGCCCCTGTCCCCCACGCTTCCCGCTTCCAGGAGAAAGCCACTACCAGCCCCTGCTCCCATACATAAATACATTAAGGCTGCAGACAAATCCTCATTGTTCAGAAATAAGCCGAGGAGGCCGGACGGCTCCCCTCCGCGAGGCAGAAGCGGCGGAGAGGATGGGAGGGAGGGAGGGAGGGAGGGGGGGGGAGGCGGGGGCCGCGCGGATCGGGTGTCTCGTTGCAGATTCCCACTAAAGATAACGAAACGTGATCTATTTTTCAGAACAGCAAGTGGATGGGAAAGAACCTTGACAACACAAAACTCATTTACTAATGGACTGGTTTTGGGTTTCTCCTCTCTGGGTCCGCAAATCTCCCTTCCTGATCCCTGGGCCTATTCAGTCCTAGCAGGCAACGGCGGCGTTCTGGACAGGGCAGGTGGGCAGCAGCTCGTCCCCCAGGATCTGAATCGGCTTCCCAGAGACCCTGGGCAGGAACGGCTCTCTTCAAAACAGAGGAAAAAAAGATGAATATTGTCGCCTCAGCTCAGATCTGAGTCTCCGCACTGCCGCACAGAGATGACTGTTTATTGAAGATGCCCTTGACTTCCAAATCTGTAGGTAGGGTAGGAGCCCCAAGTCCTTCTTGATGGTAAAAGAACTTTAAGAAACCCGACCGGGCGCCTCCAGGCAGCTTGCTTCAAGTCAGGAGGGGGGTAAAAACCCCAAGGAGGTCCCAGATACAGGATTTTGACCCAAGGCCTATGCCAGCCCAGCAGCTCCTAAGGTTTTCATCTTGGATTTTCAGCCCACTGATCTGGTCCCTACCTGTATTTCGAGAGAGAGCCTCTTCCGCCCAGCTCTAACCTACTAAGCCCGGACAGGCTAGAGTTGTTGGGTTTCCTTTAAATTCCCGACTCCTCTCTGCTTTTCATGAGATTTGCATTGACAGCAAAGGTTTTATGTTACAGAACAGCTCAAACCTTTCTGTGCGCGATTTAAAATGGATCATTTGGTTTATGTGGTTTGTAAATTCATGTCATTTTACCTCTTTTAGTGGTTTTCAGTGAAAGGTTCCATTTTGGGAAACCTTATATATCCAAGCCAATAATTATCATTTATAACAATTGGTTCCCTTAACCGAGGGCTCCAAATAACAGGTAGGCTCCTTGGTACAAAGCTCACAGCACTTTTCCTTTCTAGTTAAGTGAGCTATTGGATTAAATGGGGAGAGGGAGGAGGCTGGCACGTCCAGCAAGACTCCCCCCCCCCCCGAAAAAATTCTCATTTACCTCTCTGCCAGTTATCACAGCACCTACGGAACTCCTCATTTGTCACCAGTGCCTGGGACAGTCCTGATTCCTTTTCAACAGAGATGAAAAGAAGGGGGATCTGGAGGACGCCAGGCCCATGGTGGATACACTGCCACTTTCCTCTCCCGTTAGTTAGTTATCCCCTGTGAATATATACCCGAATACATTTGTGTATCTGTGTGAGCTATACCTCCCTTCCCTACAAAGACTGTTGATTACAAATGCCGGGCTGAGCTCCAGGCACCGCTTGTCTTACAGGATGCGACTGTGCTTATGACCCCCCCCCCATTTTAATTGTGCACACTTGTTCCGGACTTTAGGGTGCTGATTCTGAGAGGCCAAATAAGTCCGAATGCTGGCCTCACACAGCTGCCATGTCAATAAGGACTGTTCCAAGCAGAGACACTCCTCCTGGCAGGACACTTGCAGTGCCCCAAGACTTCATCTGAAACGTCATGAGCACTAAAATAAGACAGCGAGGGGAAAATTACCAGGCACACAGCCTTGGGCTCAGCCATGCCAGGCTTCCAGTTTAGAAAATAAGTCATCGGGCGTACCATGTGGCAGGAGCTCTTTTGAAATAATACACACCCATTAAATGCATTTTATAAACAACAACAACAACACAACAACAACGGAGGAGCCTAATCGTAATGCTGTATCAGCATCTGCTTCCAAGGTTTAATTGAATGGCTAGAAGGTGTTTCAAGGAGGAAAGCAATGTGTGTGAGCTTATCAGAGTGGGGGGGGGGCAGGGGCTTTCTGTCTACTTGTGATCTCTGGGGAAGCAGCCTTGAGGTGGGAACCCTGTATGAGTTTGAAATGCATATTGCAGGGTGCGCCAGACTGGGAGCATTATTTTAAAACCATATAAATAATAAAAAGGGAAAGCCTTCTCTCACTTAGATCTCAAAATGCAAAAGGTTCTTTGGCTGATGGAATCAAAACACTGAAAGAAGACAAGCAAGCTTAAAGAGCCTAGTGTTTGCTCCCTGCCATTCTCTAAGAGGGCACACTAAAATCAAAAGCATTTTTGAAGTGTACTTAAAATTCTGTTTTGAACTTATCTAATCAGAGATAAGTATAGTCATAAAGTCACTCCCCTTCCACCATTTGGCTTCCCTTATCTCCACACATTGTTCTTATCTGCTGCCAGTCTTAGCTACTGACAATAGATTATCTTTGTTTAGAGAGGCTAATTGTTTTCAAAATCTTTTTAATAATTGCTTTGGAACAAGGTGTGCAAATGAGGCTTAAGATAATTACAGCTCTATTTGTTTGTGCAGTTTTACTAAGCATTCTCCACACAGGAACGAAATAGCAGAAGATGGGACTGAAACTGCAGGACATCTCTTATTCTCTGGCAGCAAAATAGGCCAGCATTGCAACACACACACACACACACACACACACACACACACACACGCACACACACGCGCGCACACACACACACTTTATTTAATCTTCTTGGAGCCACTATGGTTCTAGCTTTGAGGGCAGTGTCCCTCTTAGAGCAGGGCAAGGATTATGTTACAGCCGGACGGTTATTGGAGCTGGGCACAGTTTTATTTAATTTACACCCCATTCAGCCCCTTCTGCATGAGGTTCCCAACACATTTTTGCTGGTGGCAAGTAAAACTTTTTAGCATTCATCGATGGCAGAGGCTGCATTGGAAAAACTCATCGATGCAAATGGGGAAACTGAGTCCAGAAGCCTGTCGACGTCAAGACACTAAATCGCAAATGAAGCCCTGATGTGTCTATCCATTTGGCTACTGTGCCAGGCTCAACCCTTCTGGTCCCACTTCTAGAGGCACTTTGAGAATGAGGGGAACGCTGCCCAGATCAGAGTGCCTGCACTCTTTGGGAGGTGTTGGGGGTTAGGGAGAATGGGGGAGGGGATTGGCTCCTGGAGCTGAAGCCAAACCCAGGAGAAGCCACTTTCTGAGCGTCTGCAGCAGAGAACCCTAGGTCTGCTCTTGTATTATTTATCGTGTTCCATAAGCTATTCATCAATCCATTATTTATTCATCTCAACATTAAGGTAATTAAATATGAGCTCACCGGGAAGAGCCAAGACTGCAAGGGACAGGGATGGGGAGCACGGCGAAGAGGGTCATTAGAACGTCTGCAGTCATTGATTTTTTTTCTCCCGAGGTGCGCGAGGCTCCCCTTAGGTGACACCAAAGAGGGCGCCGCTCGGCAAGGTCCGGCACCCTAGCTCCCTCCTCCTGACCCCCACCTCACTTCCCACCTCCCCAGGTCCTTCTCCTCCCACCACCGCTCCCCATCACCCAGGCCCCGCAGCTTCGCCCTCCCTACGCGGGCCGGTAGGGCGGCGCGGCTTAGCGGCCGGGGCCCCGGCGGCGCGCAGGCTGGCCAGCTTCGGATTGGCGCCGGGCGCAGCCAATCAGCGCGCCGGGGACGCTGCGCGCTTTAAGGCCGCGGCCGAGAGAACAGAAACCAAGTTCCCGGGCAACTAGCAGCATCCACCCGGCGGCAGGCGGGAGCCAGCGAGGCCCGGAAGGCAGCGGAGTGCGCCAGCCACTCGGGAGTCGAGCGAGCCCCTTCTTCTTCACCTCGCTTTGCCCTTCGGCTCCCGCCCGCCAGAGGTCCGACCGGTCTTTTAGCCCTCGCCAAAGCCTAGGGAGGGGGTCGGGAGCAGCCGCGCCCCCCTCCCCGAGGCAGACGCCCCCCCCCTCCACCCCTCGCTCTCCGCGTTCAGCTCACTCGCCGCGTGCGCCCGGGCCCGTGCGCCCCGGCAGCGCCAGCCATGTCGATGCTGCCGTCGTTTGGCTTCACGCAGGAGCAAGTGGCGTGCGTGTGCGAGGTCCTGCAGCAAGGCGGGAACCTGGAGCGCCTGGGTAGGTTCCTGTGGTCGCTGCCCGCCTGCGACCACCTGCACAAGAACGAGAGCGTGCTCAAGGCCAAGGCGGTGGTGGCCTTCCACCGCGGCAACTTCCGCGAGCTCTACAAGATCCTGGAGAGCCACCAGTTCTCGCCGCACAACCACCCCAAACTGCAGCAGCTCTGGCTGAAGGCTCACTACGTGGAGGCCGAGAAGCTGCGCGGCCGGCCCCTGGGCGCCGTGGGCAAGTACCGGGTGCGCCGAAAATTCCCGCTGCCGCGAACCATCTGGGACGGCGAGGAGACCAGCTACTGCTTCAAGGAGAAGTCGCGGGGAGTGCTGCGGGAGTGGTACGCGCACAACCCCTACCCCTCGCCGCGGGAGAAGCGGGAGCTGGCCGAGGCTACCGGCCTCACCACCACCCAGGTCAGCAATTGGTTTAAGAACCGGAGGCAAAGAGACCGGGCCGCCGAGGCCAAGGAAAGGTACGGGGCGTGCTTGTCCAAGGCTGGGGCCATCCCGGAAAAAAAGTCTCACTCCTTCGCCCCTTTTCTGCACCCCCTTCCCGAAAGGCATCGGCTACCGAATCCCTAGCCGCCGCCCCGGCCCCCTCCCCACGCCCCGGCGACGCCGCAGCCAAAGTTTACGAACCCCTGGGCTTTGCCTGCCGGGCACCGGGCCGCGTCTGCGTGGAGCGCCCGCGCGTGGGGGCTCTTCGGTGGGGAAGGATGTCGGGAACTGCCGGCGCTGGTTTTTTTTTTTTTCACCCCTCCCTGGCTGGCTGCGGCGTAGAGAGGGGTTGGCGGGGGGAGGGGGGTAGGGGTTCCCGATCAGAGGGAAAGGGGAGCGTTGCTTGGTATCTGGAGGGAAGAGCCGGGAGGAGGTTCGGCGCGGCGGAGGGTCTCGAACCCCCGTCCTTTCGCTCCTCCTTCTGGCTAGTCTGCGCAGAGCCTCCCGGTGCCTTCCGGCGCTCTCTCGGGGTAGTCTAGGGGATGAGAGCCCTGCGTCCTTGCGCGCTGGCTGGACAAAGAGGAAAGCAATGCCCAGAAAACAGAGCTCCGGGGGTGGGGGAAAAGGCTTGCTGGCCGTCTCAGCCGAAGCCCCGAGCCTGGAGCGCACAACGCCGACTGGAGCGCTCCCTCCCTCGCGCGTGGCCGGGTCGCTGTCGCCGGCCCCGCCGCCGCCGCGGGCGAGGAGTAAGTGCGGCGCCTGCCGCCGGCTGGCTTCTCCCCGCCCCGGACCTCTGCTTCCCCTGCCCCGCGGCGCCTGCTGCCGCCCGGAGATTGGGGACCGCCCCGGGCAGGCGGAGGCAGGGCGCAGGCAGGGGAGCCCGGAAAGCCGGGGACCCGGGGCGCAAGGCCCCGCTGGCTCCTCTTTGTTCGTGGGCAGCCTGGGGGGCCGAAGGTCTGCCTTCCTGGGTTCCCCCCTCTGGGTCGGGAAACCGCAGAGCCTGTCTAGATTCCTAGGGGAAAGAGAGAGAGAGAGAGAGAGAGAGAGAGAGAGAGAGAGAGAGAGAGAGAGAGAGAGAGA